TATTATATGCGCTTTTTCTAATTATTATACTTGTTATGTTTCTTATGCAAGTAATTGGCTCAACTATACAACAGAATAAACACAAACTAACCTCAAATTTCTTCTACTACTTACGGAAAAATTTCAAAGCAGCATAACATCAGTCGAAAATATCGATGCAATTATTAAATAGAGTATACGAGCAAAATATCTTGCCTATATCTCGCGAAAATCCATTTTCGCTTCGATAAGTTCCAAGGCTACTCTTCATTCACGCCATATTGCCGCATATAAACAATTGCGTCACTAACCTCAAATTTCTCCTATTACTTACCAAAAAATTTCAAAGCAAAATAATATCAGTAAAAAATATCGATACAATTGTTAAATAGAGTATACGAGCAAAATATCTTGCCTATATCTCGCGAAAACCTATTTTCGATTCGATAAGTTCCAAGGTTACAAGGAATGCAGTCCAAATGATTCCTAACCTATAAAGAGCGTCCCGACAAAGGCTGCTCTTCATTCACGCCATATTGCCGTGTCTAAACGGTTGCGTCACTTTCGAAACTTGATAACGCACCGTGGCAAGCAATTTAATGACACTCGATCGCGGATTATTATTGCGATGACCTAACGAGTTATCGCCTTCCGAATGTTAACAGGGTAAAAGTTACGCGTGGTTGCAGGGTACGTGCTTTGCGGATCGTGCAACCGATCCTTCGCGGTACCTTCGTCGCACGGATGGCTTCCATTTAGTTTCGCCTTCTTTTTCGTCTCCATTTTGCCGTGGTACGAGGGCGCGCATGCGCGCACGCGCGATTTTGCATACGCGGCTGCGGCGAGGTTCATGGAACTCTGCATGCTCGCGAGCTTAGAATGAAATGGTACGCGGTGAACAGCTGCGCGAAAACCACGTGAAATTGCGTTACCTATTGCGACGCGATTTTTCTTCCTTAGGCGGCTACGCTCGAAGAACGTCGCACCAGGAAGCTAATGAATATTATTCAGGGATACATTTGTAAACGGAACTCGCGTACCGCCTGCTATTCCATTGATAGATGGCACGGCGAGTAACTTTTGAAACGCGTGAAATGCTTAGCTCGATGTTTCATGCTTGTTCTACGAGACAGCGAATTAAGAAAATCTGCTGCAACACTGATCGTGAGCATTAATTTCATTTGTGAATGGGGAACCAGGTGAAACGGTTATTGAAATATTTAACGAGATTCTTTTAACCTCGATGTCGAAGTCGATATTTTTTTGGCGTACTTTTATTATTATTTAATATTTAATGTTTGTGGGCGGATGGTTTTAGCGTTGAGAATGAACAGAGTGCTCTATTGAAATTTTTCTTTGTACTTAGGTATATTTACATATATATGTTATTATTTTGTTATTGTTACATTCTATGTTTTAGTTTGTGGTATTAAAAATTGTTTTATATTTTAGAAAGCTTTTATTGTAATTTTGTAGCATTGATATGATTTGAATTTAAATTTTGGCGAGGTTAGAGTTTTTCTTAACCTTGATATCGAAATCGACATTTTTTTAATGGTAACTATATTATTATTTCGTGAATGCGATATTTAAATATAGCTAATATTTTTAGATGCATTATAGGTGGATGGTTTTAGTGTTGAAAATGAACAAGGTGCTCTAGTAAAATTTTTAGCCTAGGGATTTTCTAGGGAAATCACCTAGGGATTTTTTCTTTGTATTTAGGTGTACCGTTGTGAGAAATATCTTTTATATCTTATTATTGTATTATTGTTACGTTTTACATTCTAATGTGTGGTATTATGGACGGTTTCATATTTTACAGAGATTTCGTGGTAATTCTGTAGTATTGAAATGATTTGGATTTAGAGTTTGGCAAAGTTAATATTGACCTTCGTTGAAATAGAAATGTAATTGGGTGCATCTATATGTTTCATTATTATCTGTGTATATTAAGTTTATGTATACATTACGGTTTGATTATTCTAGTACTGAAGATATTAAACGTTATTCTAGTGAAATTTTTTAGTTCCTAGGAATTTTTTGAGAAGTATTCTTCTCTGATACTTCCATATTCAATTCTATAATATATTAATACTGTATTATATCATACTTTACATTTTGATTTACGATATTGTAATTAATCTTAAGGGTTGATAAAAATTAATATTTTATATCTCATAAAATTGGAAATAACTCCCTGAATCAACATTAGTATTAATAAATCAATTAACAAGTGACTAGTTCAAAATTTCTGGTTCTTACGCTTAATGGAAACGTATAGATGCTTCAGATAAAATTAATGTTCACTTCTATTGATACGAAAATATATTTCTATATTATTTTCATCACACCATTTGACAGATATGTATATTATATTTAGGTACACAATATAGGTCGGTAGTTCTAGTGTTAAATACTAGGTGGGGTGCGCCTGTACCCCAACGCTCTTTTTGCCCTAATTGTCACTAGACGTACAGTCGCTTACGAAAGTATTCGAATAGCTCGAATCTCGAATATTTAACAAACGAAATATACACGTCGAACTCGAATTTTCGGAACAATATTACCGCTGAATGATACAGGTATCGAGAATTTTTATTTAAAAAATGTAACAAATATTGAAATTTTAAAAAACATTGAATGTGAACACATCTTTCAGGAGAGTGACAAAAATATTCAAACAGATTAATTATTTCGTGTTAGTATATATTGTTAATTAATACTTCGTCATTAATTGCAATTCCCATATACTATATCTCTACAATTTCGAATACCTTTGTCGATCTGTATAAACGATACGTTTGCATTCGATATTTTTTAAATTATATATTTACCGTTAAATTTTTTTCATAATTTTACACACACATTTTTAACACTATGTGCATGTGCATGTTAACACCATGTGCCTATGTTACCTTAGGTACAGTATTATTTTCGAAAGTTAAATCTAATACGTGTATTACACTCGTTCAAAATTTGCAACTCAAGCTCTTCGATTACTTTCTCGATAGACTGTACAAGTAAACTAGATAAACCAATACAATAGAGTAAATCAAGTATAAGAAAATTTATTTTTGAAATTATAACAAAAGCATGATGTCTGGTCCACACCTGTACATCACTCTATACTATAATGGTTAAGGTCTCAGATAGGGATTAATAAGGTATCCACAACGAAACGTAGTATTATATTTGAAAGAAGTAAAAGGGAATATAAGAACGAAAATTACGTAATTATTCACTGAAATAGAATACCATTTTTATTTTCATTCATATTTCAAACGAATCATAATTAATGACGTAATATATATTCCTTCATTTTAACAAACTGCCTTGATAATTATATCAAGAACGCTTTCAGTTCTAAGAATGCCATATAAGAGTGGGTTAATGCTAGAAACATTACTCGCAGCGAAATGAGCTATCAATAAATTGATAAAAGAAACCACTGTTATAACGTACAATTATTTCTTTCTTAAGGAAAAATAAATTTTTCTTAATTCTTATTTCTAGAATCTTTCCAAATTTCACGAAACTCAAGTTTTCATCATATCAAATAATAAATCGATTTTTCGTAATGACTTATGAGTCACGAGAAAGTCTAATTCTACAACGAAAATTACTAACCTGTAACGAAATATAATAGTAAAATATATAATATACCAAGTACATATATATCGATCACATGTTCATTTAAATAAACATCAACATCAATCTTGTCAAAAGCAGCTGCGAGTTTCCACTAATTACAAAAATAAAATATCTGAAAATGCCATTTTGACTTCAGCAGTTCCACCATCAAGCGAACCAGGCGGAAACACTAATGCCTCTAGCGTCAGGCCGTTAAATTAGACATTGTTGCATGCTTCAATTACCTCGAAGTAGCTTATGTAAATAGCGGTTAAAGATGAAGGCTTTCAGAAAATAGACAACTTACGCATAGCAAACAAATCGAGTTACAATACCGTAAAAAAGGTAGGCAAATAAAAGTTGGAGCAGGCGCGTGAGATAGGAGATTATTTCGGAGTACGAAGAGAGTTTGTAAGTCAATGTACTTAGCGAGGTTTTGAGAGTTGTATATTACCGACGACGCGTGGAAGCGTAGAACGCGAGTCGTACATACCGACGAAACGCGAAGAGGGGGCGGTGTTTAGCAGTTCTGTATCTGCATCATCAGCTGCTACTCAGCACTACGCAGCGTGCACTGCGATGAAAGCGAACCGATCGAGACCGATTAGTTTCAGCGAACGAAAGTTCGTACAGCCGTATAACGGAACTAATTAGTAAGATTATTTCGAAACTATCACTTTTCTCGTTGAATTTGTCGTTTATAAACGTAGATGGTAACAAGGCACATATAAAAATCATTGGTACACGTAAATGCTTATTCGACGAAATTTTATGTCTCGATCGGTAAAGAAATTTCCAATGATATCCTAAAAATTCGAGTATTAGATGTTTATCGCTGGAAATGATAGATAGAGTTAAAATACCCTGGAATATTCGCATAACCTATATGGATTCGTAAATATACCGTATATACGTGCGTTTCAACGACCGTTACGTATAACTAAACGAATTACGTGTTCAGAGTTGATTTAATTGGAGAATTTGTTGAAAATACAAGCGTGTACCGTAGGAGAGGTCCCGAGGAAATATTTTCGACAAGAGGTAATCCTTGAAACTAATTTTCGTGCTAACCTCTATCACAATTGGCTGTGCATAGTGAATTAATTAACGTCATAGTTTGACGTTCAATCTTATCGCGTTCTATTTTTTTTATTTTTTAGCTGAATTAACAACCGATTCATGACTACATATTAAATTCTGCGATTGTTCTCACGTTAAATATACAAGTATGAATAAAAAAAAAACAGAGAAAGAGGTAAGTATACTTTTCAATTTTTCGTTATTCGAATATATTCGTGTCTATAATGATGTTTATTTCTTTTAACCAACAGTGTAGCAGATAATATAGCGAATAATACTAGCGAAAAATGGAATCTTTGGGTACTTACCGAATCCTTTGTTTTCGCGTTCAGCTCGACAACAGCTTTCTGCAGTTCGCAGTTCTGTCGACGCAGCAGCGAAATCTATGGAAATTAAGAAAAAACAGACTTTAATAACACCCCTAATTCAAGATGAAGCATTTGACATGAACACTTAAATCATTCGTTGGCTTGTAATATGGAACTACAGTCGTGACGTAGATTACGATCGAATTGCGATAAATACGAGACACCTTAGATTATTTCTCGGACACACCATATCCGATTCCTTCGAAACCCATTTCTAAAATCGGCTACTAAATTACAGGAAACATTGATGATCAACCTTCGCATACCGCGCAAGTAATTTGAAATTAGAAACGGTTTCAAAGCAACGACTACTGTCTGTCACGATCTACATAACACGGTACGTATTTTACATATACATTTATCATATATCACCGAAAATCAGCAAGTTTGACATGCATGGGATATATTTCGATAACAACCTCTTTAATGCTCGATTTTCATTCAAGGTTAACCTCAATCGAGCAACGTACGATGGTCAAATGGAATGTACGATCGTTTTGAAAGAGGCAAGGGAACAAGGAAGTATAGTAAAACTCGTAACACTGTGGTGCAGAAACTTCGAGTGTAGTCGAAAGTCTACACGAGGCTTATTCGATAGTTACGATGGTGTGGAAACTATTCCTGGAACTCGACGATTCTGTTGAAACGGCAACGAAAAATCGGTATCTCCCGAGCTGAGGGGGAGCGAAGGAAAAAAAAAACTAGGAAAAAAGGAACGTTGACATGGGGAACGCGGTAATCACGCTCCGGACTTAAATATTGGTAACCATAATCAGAAGGAAGTCCGGTGGTACGCCGTGGGCATACGGACCGTACGATGCGCGTTTCTGTTTGTCTTCCTTATCTCAGGTTTGCGCTGCGATAACCGCCCTTCCCCTTCTCCGAACGTTATTCCACCTATACGACTCGCCATCTTACCACGAACGCTGGGAGCAACGAAAGTGAAACGATTCGAAACGTTCTAAATCCAGCACAAATAATGCCTTTAACTAGTCAGGTATATTTTTCCCGAGCTTTCGAAAGTTCGAGGGCCTCTAAGGAGAGTTTCAACGTGGGAGATAACAAAATAGCGTTGGTAATGGAAGTGGGTTAAATTGGGAAATATATATATATTTTTTTTTTTCAGAGAGCATGGAATCTTTTTGACATTATTTTGGTTTATTGCCGTGAGAAATAAGTATGTGGATGTGTTGGAGAGGGAAATAAGAAGAATGTATGAATTTTGTGGTATTAAACATCCTTAGCCATTACAAAGGATTTATTTTATTAGTATTTTATTGATCGATATTTTATGAGAGATAAAGTGGAGTTTAATGTGATTGTTTTTTCGTTTGCAGCTATAGCAAGTTCTGTGGAATGTTTGATTAACGAATTTGAAAATACGTAACAGATTCAGTTTGTTTTAAAAGCTTGAAAATGATAGCGTGGTAGTAGGATAGAACAGTTTCAATATAAAGTTTCGATGAAGGATTTAACGAAAATTTCATTGAAACGTTTCGATATAAAGTTCTGAACGAAAAACCGATAGAAAATACGCGATCGGGGTTTACGATTACTTTACTGCATTCGATGAAGGACACTTCCTATATCATGTGGTTTATATTCCAGGAACACGACTCGGGATATCGAACGTTAATATTGGAAAACGATATTACGATTCCGGCAGATTGATAACGCGATTAACAGATGCTTCAGAGTTTGTACGATTTTATTCGTCTGTTCTACGGTGATAGTACAATTCTAATCTAAATTATAACTTCATCTTTCACCATCGTACATGATAACGAGTTTAATCCTTATACCAATAATTTATTTTGCTCGATTTAATCTTCCAAACTTGAGAATTATTCCATGCATACAGTAATCCAATAATGCAAAAATGGGAAGAACGCAGAGATAAGTGTAATTGCAATTTTTGTTCAAAGCTTCTATCAACTACGATAAATCCCTAATTAAATTTGCATAAAAACTTCGCCTCGCCTTTCACGAAATTCGCTTTGTACACAAGGGAGGAAAACCACACTCTTTGTTATCCAAATTCATTATCAATTCCTCCTGTCTCCGCATGATTAATTAGCCCATTCATTTCGTTCTACGAATTCCGCCCTGCCTGAAACTCTTTCCATATATACACGCATACGTATGTATATAGTTACCGAGATCAATTTACGAATGGACGCATTTCGTGACAAATATACGATGTCTGCCTGATATGGGGTAAAAGTCAATCGGTGCGTTAACACTGTAACGTTATACGCGTTTCTAAGGGAGGCAGGGGCAAGCACATAAGCATTGTAATGCAGACTAAAAGGCCTTGATATGGCTATCTATCGGTTCCTAGTACAACGAAGGGTACGGTCCTGAGGCTTACCACAAAAGCACGAACAAACGTGGCGCACGCTTTCGGTCTCTTATGCTTCCACAAATTGTTCGCGATAACAAACCGGAACGACATGACCGTGCAGACTTCAATGACCCCCCTGTCCCCCTTTGGTATCCTTCTGCCCCACTCGCCCCTCCTCGAAACTATTTTTGCACGATAGAACGATTGCACGTTCGAAGGTCGAACGTGTAATATTTTATGAAAGAAACACTACGATACCGAAGAAAATAGAATATTTAAGCTCTATCATAGACGAGTTTTTTTAACGAAGAAAATGAGAAATATCGATTTAAGCGATAAGATGCAATGGAATTGAATGGTATTATTGTTCTTTCAATCGCTGACACCATTCATTTCCTTCTTTTTATTATTATCTTTAAAAAATGATTATAACGAAAAAGTCGTTTAAAACGATATCGCTTTATTATGATGAAAAGTATGATTGATAGCTTATGTAATAAAGGACAGCTTCCTATCGCTCCTTGTCGAGGGTTGAAAGGATTCGGGGTTGGTGTCATATGAGATAAGGTAAACGGTGTAGCGTGTTTACATAGTACTCAATCCCGTTTAATATGGAAAGTAACATCTGTTAAAATAATTCCTAACCGCAGGGTAACAGTGTTCTTATCAAGGTTGCCGACATCTGCGTGCATATCAAGAATTTGCAATAAAATACAACATGCTTGATTAATAAAATAACTGTTATAAGCTTCAAGCTTAAGAAGTTTAGGAATTTAGCGAAATGTATAAATAAAAATAACGAAAACATGTTTGCATGAAACGAGTTACGTCATTGAATAAATTATTCGTTGTTGCAGTGACATAATTATGTTATATATTTTATATAATGATATTTTGAATGACGTTTTTATGTGAAGCTAAAAAAATTAAAATTGAATATTAATATATTACTAACGAACAATGATAATTCAATGATCAGATAATATAAATACTTACTTCGGCGTCCTTCGAGTTGAGAACTTCTTGCAATTCGACACATTTCTGATTCGCTTCGTTTAATTCTTTCGATCGTTCGTCTACGGAAATAAAGATTTGGAATATTAGTTATAAACGATAAGGCAATGACAAATTTTGTTTATATTTCGCATCTTTGCGTTTCAAATTTCCCGCCACTTTGACGCTCACTCACTCGATAAAACAAACTCTTACATTGACAGTTGTCAGTAATTTATGTTACACGATAATACGCTTTGATTTATGTTGATCACATGATTTAGCGAAGATTGTACGTACCTATTTCCTCTACAATGCCCTCCGATAAGACCTCCTTCGTAAAGTTTGTTAATTGTCCTTTTAAATTCGACAAACTAGGCAGCCCGTCACCGAACCACGCCATTTTACACGTCGACACTTAACGCTGATTGTATTATTTAAGAACTATCTAAACACTATCTTTTGAGGTTATACGCACTGCATATTTCGGTAAAACTATATACCTTGATGGTATAAAAATATCAAAACATGAACTTACAGGAACCACGCACGTAGTAACCTTCACAAAATATACAAGGTTAGTTACAAGCATTGTCGGCAACGTTAGGTAAAAAATTACTAGATTTCTTGGAACTTTTCCAATTTAAATTACGATATACCATAAGATGGTAAAGAACTCTAATTTACAACAATTTGCATTGATATTTACAGTGTATTATTTTTTTCATACTATATTTAGATCGATTACGATAATTTAGTATCGCAAAAAGGTAACGTCTTCGAGCGATCTCTACTATTACCGACGAATGCATTCCTAATTTTTCCAACGTACCGAGAGAGCGCGGCACCAACGTCTCTGAACTTAACGCTTTTTTTCGAGAGAAACGGTCGTTTAGAACAGTTCTCGCGCGAGTGATTCCAAATCAACAGCTTCCGTAATGTTAAATAGAAAAATAAGGTAATTGGTTCTTGCATTTCCTTTGATGTGACTAACCTAAACTCGTTTCGTGATTAACTCGTCCACCGTGTACAAATAGTTTTTGTTTCCTCCTTTGAAATAGAATATCGGCTAGTTGATTTACGATGACGTTTTAATCGCTAAGGTAATTATACCTTTATCATATTCAATAATACCCATCGTACTCGCGTGTCCAGCTATTAGAATATTTCATACCAGCAACGAGTGAATGCATAAATATTCTAATAAACGTCGTTCGTGTTCGAAATAGTAAATCATGGTAAGCCCTTGCAAAGAAGCGCCGGCATCGTTTGAAAGCGCCACGGTTGTTTGGCGAAACATGCACCTGTAACACCAGTTTTAAATAGGACGCTCTCGAGTCAATTTATTTTTCTGTTCCGTAGCAAATAAATCGTCCGGTTTCTCTATCTACTCTCGTGACTCGTAATTCGAGAATAAAAAACCCTTTGAAACGAGAGCGGTGGCATATCATTCAGAAAAGTGGTTCAGTGTTCAACGGAGACGATTCAAAAGGGGCTTCCCTCTGTTTCACTTTTTCTTCCTTTCCTTTTCGTTCTTTTAATTCGTGTCGCACGTTTCCTTTTATTTTTAGGAAGTCAACTCGATTGCATGGGCATTATGGAGCAGCACCTTTTTACGAGGCTTCTTTTCTCTGTGGCGTGTACCAAAGTATTAGGAAGAATGGTGGGCACGAGGCCGAGGTCCTCAACGGAGGAAGGTGAGTAGCGGTTGAGAGAGGGACAGACGCTTCACTATGCTGTGCTTACACACAGTGCCGTATCCTTTGCCCGAGGTTCTCGGAGGCACAAGGGCACGCTGTCCAATTGTTTGCAAAATTATCGTCGTAATTTTAAACGCGTTCTATCGATATCGTACAATTAAATATACCCATTAAATCGCACATAACCTTACTACAATTCGACAAGTACAGAATTAATCGTCAATTTTATTAATTTTAATAGACCCTTTTCTCGCAAACGCGATAGAATTTTTTCGATCAATCGTAAACGATATTTTCACCACGAACGAATGATTATTTTATGGCAATAAAAGCTATCACAGTGAAGCAACAAAGGTATCTAGCTTGTATTATTAAATTCTCAAGGAAATTTCTCCCGTAAACTAATACCGTTGATTTCTGGCAACAGGTCTGGCCGAAAATTCGTACGATTGGCTGCGGAGACTGGGATGGGGCGTATAATCGCGACAACTTAACCAAGCAACAATCGGCGTTGAAAAGGTTTCGGTAGTCGCGTGATGCGCCGCAATTTGGAAGTCGGGACGAGGCCGGCGGAGCGAAGGAAGAGCGCCGAACGGCGAGCTACGTCACTGTCCACGCTATCACGATTAACAGAGTGAACAGCACGAGACGTCCGCGCGCGCGAGCGAGACGGAGCGGGTGGCGAAGGAAAGGTAAAGGAAAGGAAAGGAAAGGAAGGCGCGCAAGGTAAAGGCACATCTGAATCCTTCGGTTGACTCGGCTCAGTCTGATCCGAGCCAAGCCACTGCCCTGATCCGGTGGCGTTGCTCGCTCTCTCCGCGCTTGGATCCACTCTTCTTCCTACTGCTCCTGACACGCTCCACACGCTCGCCGCAGTCCAATCCAGCGGTGTCATCGATCACCGATCCGACTTCCTTCCTCCGCGTCGGTTTTCGCTGCGCGGTCAGTTGAAGTCGCGGCGAGCTTCCGTTCCCGTCGAGTTCGCCCGACAGACGAAAATCACCACCTGACATGTCACAGTGCACGCACCAGCACCGTGTCGATTGGTTCACGCGCGTCCAGTGAGCAACGAATCCCGGCCCGGTCCCGCTCGTACAGTTTTTCTTCCGTTTCGCTGCTGCCGCTTTTTCGTTCGGTTTTTCGTCCTCGAGACACCAGTACGTCTACGACCCGTGACTCGTGCGCGCGGCCGTGCAACCGGCGAATTTTTGTGGATCCTCCTGCGTGGCTCGAGACACCGGAAGTGTGATGACCCTTCCAGCGGGACGTGCTGCATCGATCAACGGGGCGACAGCGTGCCTTCGATCTGGGATCTGAGTTTCGCGGTCAAGGTGCGTACCATTCCACTCTCTTCTTATCAACTTTACCCTTGCTTTATTTACCATTCTCACTGTCTCTGTCCTTTGCTAGTTTATGTGACCAGGAGTCAGTGGACAAAGGCGTCTCGACTGACACTCTACGTATCGAAGTGTACGGTTGTTTTTCGTTGGCCCATGTTTACTCCGACTCGTTCTCATTCATCGAGCGAGCTTTCCGACTTGCTTTTTCCTTTCTCATGGATACAATGTAAGTGGAGGATCGTTTATATCCGATGCAATAGCATCCCCGGTGCTTCGTCACGGTGTGTTACTTCCCTTTGTCTTATCGACGAGAGCGATAGAGGGCCGGGCGCTGGCAATGGGAAAAATTTATCGTCAGTATAATTTAATGCCTCCTTAAAGCCGATCGACGAATGCTTAATGTGGGACGAGAGCGTACTTTGTATTGTATTCCAAAACGTATCGTCTACGCTCGTGTTCCTTCCGATGCTGCTTCTGAAAACGTCTCAGATAAATGAAACATTTTTCCCGCTTCTTTGCCGTAGACAATGGGCTATTAGCTGTAAGCACCAATTATGGGACTGCGCGGGCGCGCTTCTTTTCCCCGGATAGCTGTGCGCGAATAAAGTAAGCGTGGTACGAGGGAGTCGCGTCTTCCGTTCGTAGGGGATGTTGCTAGACGAAACCGGAAACGAGCCTCAAAGGAGTCAAAGGACGAGTCGATTCCTTCGTTTAGCCACGTCAACCTCTTTGTCTCTTAGACTGTCTGACTAATTAGGCGACACATTCGAGTTATGCGAGTTAGAATTCTGCTGGCTTCGTTCTTTGCCATTTACTCGTGCCAATATTCCAGACGTTCATGGTGATTTGTGGAATTCGTTGTTTGGTATTTCCCATTTTCTTTTCTCTTAATAATGACAGTGAGAGAATCGGGTATTATATCGTTACCCTAATGAGTGATTATTATATTTACAAATAGTAATATTTATAATATTATTATTTATTATTTGGTACTTCCTTTTCTTTTTCTTTTAATAATAAAAGTGAGAAAATCAGGTATTATATCAGACAGTGGGAGAATCATGTATCATGTCGTTACCCTAATTCGTGATTATTATATTTACAAATAGTAGTATTTATAATATTATTATTTATTATTTGGTATTTCTTTTTCCCTCCTCTTAACAATGACAGTGGGAAAATCAGGTATTATATCGTTACCCTAATTCGTGATTATTATATTTACAAATAGTAATATTTATAATATTATTATTTATTGTTTGGTATTTCTTTTTCTTTTTCTTTTTCTTTTAACGAAGACAGTGGAAGAATCAGGTATTATATCGTTACCCTAATTCGTGATTATTATATTTACAAATAGTAGTATTTATAATTGTTCGAATACTTCATTTTATGAATGATATTTAGGTATGAAATATGTTTAAATGTATTTCAATACGGTATTTTATGGATTATTTTCGTTTCGAAGTAGAATTTTTAGAACTTCGTCAGTATTTTATTTTGCGTTAGAATTTCTGGTCGAGTGAATGAAAAAATTTCTCCAGCGCAAAACGTTCGACACAAAACACATTGTTGACGGTACACTGTCTAACGGATCGATCTCTGGTCCGTCATATTTTTGGAAACAATATGGATAAACGAAAGTATTCGAACGCTGACAGTTGTTACGATAGAAATATTTACGAAAAAATTTTACAATTGAAATGGTGAGTGATAAAATAAAATAATTCGGTAATTTATAATTTTTAAATTCATTTCGTGAAATGTTTCGACGATTTATACGATATTTGTTAAAATTTCGAATAGTGGGGTGCGGTATATTCACCGAAAAATTGTCATGGAGCTGTCATAGCAAGAGATGATGAATTAACTACACGATGGAGGTTTTTATTTTTCAATGGATACTAGAATTTTCGAGCTCTAATATTTAACTATAGTATACACGGGTAATTATAATTAATGTAGGATAATAGATGCAAATATCTATCATCAATTATTAATTATTATTGATTAATTATTTAAACACCATAATTTAACATGCTTAATTAACTCGCTAAATATAGCAGGTGTACGTTCAAATACATATATCTATATGAATATATGTGAAATATGCTTCTATTCCAAGCGGTATAAATATTCCAAAAATATTTTAAACAAAATCTTTCATCTAAAATTTACTATTCTCCCACGAAACATGGATTCTTCTCAATCTTGTCAACCTTTCAAAAATATGGAAAAACCTCAAACACTATTATCGATGTCCAAGAAAATTCTTCAAGTACCAACTCTCATCTCCCCCCTCCATTATCCAAAAATCCAAAAATCCGCGTTTCCCATTCACGTTTCTCGTCTACCCCATAAGCTTTATCCTCGTTTATACATTCTTTGTACTCCTCGTTATACATTATACGGTCGTTTTTAATACCAGATAAGATCAAACAAGGGGTTCAATAAAAGGATGAAAATGACTTCTTCCAGACATTTTATTTTTC